GCTTTGGCCCACTTGTCCGTGTTCGTGTATTGATCTACATCGGAAAGCTTTTGTACCTTTCGTCTCGGCCCTCTCAGATCAGTCTTCTGGGATGCGTTTCGAGGCGTTGACCACTGAAGAGTTTAACCCCCCAGGGGTCCTAGCTTTTCGAGGACATCATCGTCAGTGGAGTCGGTGTCTTTGCATTCGAATAAGCACCACGTGTTTCACGTCTACTTCGAGTATTTCGCACCTCTGGATCTGCTGCTTTTTAGCCGATCGGAAGTCGGAAGTACATTGAGTCTCCCGTGGTTGGGTGTTTCCCACTTTACCCAGGGCAAGTCTCCCCTTCGATTTCCGACTTCATGCTCAGGATCTTTTTTCCCAGCCCTATATTCAGGCTGGACTTAAGCAGCATGCTCTCTTTTCGTCTTCTCTCACTCGGATAATATTTCTGATCTGTACGTTGAGTGCTTTAAAAGCCGCCGGTCGTCCTAGGACTGAGGAAGCGACTTTGATCCTTTCGCGGCCGTACCCACCCTTCAGCTCTCGGGTTCGGGCGAGCGTTTTCTTGTGTAGTTCGATCATCATTTGTAATAATTTGCTCGTTCGACATCAATGTGGGTTGATAAATAGCGATCATGTGAGACGATAACGATCCATTCTCTCTGTGGGATTCTCCTCTATGAAAAGCTGGGACCTTTTAGCATTACATGTGAAATTGTTTATTCAGCTTCTGTCTCCTTCAAACATCCGAAAGTAAAGAGTCTCTTGACTCGACGGGCTTCCCCGGTGTCTGCTGAGGAAGTCCGGTCGAGCCGTACTCTCCGGGATGAGGTTCCGGTCCACCTCTGCTCAAGATATGCTCTGAGCATCGCTAGGGCTCGATATCGGTTTTGTATCCGAGATGCTGCCTTCCTCGGAGATCTGCGCGTTGGAGGATATCGTTCCGGGGTCCGATATGCTGCTGTCGGCAGAAATATGCTCTGAGATGCTGCCATCTTCAGATATCGGCGCATTGGAGGAGAGTCGGTTTGGAATCCGAGATGCCGCTCCCCTTGGAGATGTTGTCCTCAGCTGGAATTGGATCCGATATCTTCCCGGGGACGCCTTCCCCGGATGCGGCTGAGTTCGACGTTGATGAGATCGGGGAGTCCCCCGAAATCTCGGCTGCACTGGCGCTGTCTGCTCTGACCCCTGCTATCGGCGAGGACATGTCCCCCTCGATGACTCTGGCTCTCGACGATGAATCGGTCACCGGGAACCCAGAGGTCCCAGACAGGACGAGGGCGACGACAATGGCGAACTTTAGCGACATGCTCCTCGTACAGAAGTTAAGGTGGAGGTATCGTGAGAGATATCGGCTTACAACTGCGAGTGAATGATAGACCGTCTTAAGAACTGGTGTCCAACCCTCGGTTGGGCGGAGCCCCATTGGTAGTCGAGATTGAACCCGCCGAAGTACCTGAATCACTTTCCGTAACTTTTTCTCATCCGCAGTCGGCACCGGCGTGAACTCACCCTTTCTGAAGTCAGCGGGGCTATGGATACGAGCGCCAAGGGGTTAATCCGACGCACACCCCGTCAGCCGAGTTGCTCGGAAACGGGATCACCCCCGCCATATATTTGTAGACATCGTTCATTGCACACCGAAGCATGACATGGATGTAGGAACTTGCATGTAGACCATTTCGAATCCGCTCGATACCCTGCGCGGATAGTCCCCACATTCTCTTGAGTATCGAGCATTTGCCAGATGAGCTCTTGGCCATTCCGACTCCTCATTTATCGAATAGCAAACTGAGTTTTCCGAGCCGCTCCTAGCCTTGCGCAGCGAGGTGCGAGCGCGATCGGTGGTCCGTTGCGGCGCATCTTCTGTGGTGCAAATGTCTCATCTTCCCGTCAGTGGTCTTTCGGGCATCCGGATAAGTCCGAGCGAGTTGTCCCTCAATGAAGTGCTTGACTCGAGCCAAGGGATGCTGAGAGCCCATCGTCCCACATCTCTTTGGCTGATATCGGGATTTCCTTGATTGAGAATTTCAGCCGGCATTGTACGAAGGAGCGAATCACTGTGTGTCTCCTGACTTATGATCGGGGAAGTCTCGAACATACGAGACCTGTGTCCAAAACAGGAGCGGGCTTCGAGTGCTCGAAATAGATTGAAGAGCAGTCTCAACCGTACAATCAGTATCTAATTCACGGGCAACTTTGAGAGCCGAGAATCAGATATCTGAATCTGAAAGACTGGAAATGATCCCCCGGGAGAGCTCCGATTGACGATTCCGTAAGGCCTGCGTATTTGTACAACGGATTCAACGGTGATCGAACCCAAAAGAAATCTGGCACTATCCTCATGTTGGGAATCGGGAAAAACAGGAGGACAGCTCTCAACAAGCGAGCAGTCTCTAACAAGAGGGCAGATTTCGAAGGCGCGACAGATAGGCGAGCGGGCTCATCAATCAGAATATCTTCGGTATTAGGTGAGAGAAAACCCTTGATGGGGCGTGAATCGAGTTCGTAGCTTCCCTTAAGCAAGCTGGTCTGCGGCTCTGTAAGCCACATTTGGCTGTACTTGATCTCTGTGCGCGGGAGCCTCAGCCGGTTCAATTTTTCGAATTTCAAGAGAAGTCGGAAACTCCTGAACGTCGTCTCGTGAAAACCGGACGCGACGCGATGGTTTGCTGTGAGCTCTGCGTCGTGTTCGGACCCCGAGCGGAGACAAATAGCGGACTATTTCTCCGGGGGATGGGAGGGACTCGCAATGCCCCTCATCGCCAAATGGCTCACTGCCGAGGAAGTCTGCGGCATGAGTTATGCATGGGAAGGATATTCTAGCTCGAATCCGGAGCCCCTTCTCTTTTCACCTCGAAGAAACAAGGACGAGGAGCGGGATCTTGTGATCGGAGCAGCATTTTTTTAGCATGATAAACGATGAGAAATTTTCTTCGATACCAGTGGACGAGCTGATCGACCAAGGGGCGCGTAGGATAGGGACAGAAATTCGTCGGAATGTCGTTCGAGAGACAGCCCGCGTCGGCGGGGGATCACCTTCGAGGAACCATCCAAGCTCCTGGTGACATCTTGCTGGACGGCAAACGTGGAGCTCTGGAAATGTCTACCATTCAAACGATTCCTGGTCAATCTCGAGACCCCGTATGAGCCTGATTGCGCCTTTCTAAACGCATTGAAGACTTGAGAAAGCCCCCCCAGCCAATGGCAATTGAGATCGATCATCATTTGGAGTCACCATCGAAGTTTTTGAGCGGAGTCCGAATTGGGGGAATGCCCTTTCCAGGGCTTGCAGCACTGCGGGGCAGCAGCACTTCTGGGGACAAGCGGAGCAAGAATGATCCGATGAAGTCACCAGTTTGTCTTGCGAGAGGATGTCCGGGAGAATGCAATGAAAGGATAAGGCTTGGGGGGGGGGAGTACCGCGCGACGGTTAGAGAGGGCGACCAAGACGATGAATTGGTTCCAGAAGATTCGGTAGTCGCTTCTAGCAGTAAGCAGTACGTTCCGATCACCGAGCGGAGCAATGTTTTCCTTACGACCAAGGGATTTTGAAAGTAAATCATGTTGTTTCCGGTTAGGCCATTGTAGGTCGTGATGGAGCCGTGTGTGGCATATGTCTTGATGATTTTTTCTGGATGAGATTTTCCAAGTCTGACACCGCATCTCTTGCGGCATGAATTTTCGTTCCTACGTCCTATGAGATGATGCAGAAGGATGATTTTCGTCAGAGATGCCATCTCGAGAAGGGAGCTCCCTGATTCCCATGGAAAATTGTTTGATCGGGAAACCGACCTCACCGCTACTTCTAGAGCCTTCAGATGACGAGCGCGGAGTAGCGGCGCTGATTTTGACATTTTCTCCCTTCAACGTTTCGGCAGCCTCACGACGAATAATTCCGCAGGAGCCGCTCGAACGGCTCTGCTCCGTCAGTGAGCGAAAGCTGAACTGAATGAGTTCGTTCGCCTCATCGATCGGGCGAAATGATGTCACAGAGACGAAAGCGTCACCGTAGGTATCGTCCGAGACGGGAACTCTTTGGCGCCGGCGATGAGAATCGAAATCGCCTCAAGATTGTTGGCAGAAGTTGGTATGCCATGACAAGTGGGAACGAATAGGGATGCGATGCATCCATGCCAATTTTAGTAGAAAAATTGCATCACAATTGTCGGACATCTGTTAGCGCAGAAGTCAAGAGCGGGAGCCGGGAGCGTTGACAATCATTTCTACACGTTTTCCGACATTGTGGAGAACAGCGTCACGGGTCGCGGTCGACCGCACGATTATCCAAGAAGCCTGTGTTTTCCATGGGAAGAGGTCAGTTCCCGATTCGAGGGGTGGGCATAAGATCAGTCAGGGGAAAAATCAAATGGTATCATTCATACAAGAGGACTGGTTTGTCGGCTCAGGGAAGCTCTTTTGAATCCTTAAGGGGAGTATTGCGACTCTAAACGAGAAATTCGAGCGGAATCGCGCATCTCCGCTAGTCGCGCTCGGTACTCGGTAGTTCGGTAGCCTATCCGCTCCCTGCTGGCTCTGTTATTTACGAAGTCGCTCGCTACGTTCTGGGAAAATCGGGCACTGCACTCGCGAAAGCGGCGGGAACTGTACGATTGAGCTGGAAGTGAATGGATGTCCCTATCTATCGACAATACACTGACGCAGGAGCAACGGGAATAGCGGCGCCAGCGTCACGTCGCGCATGTGATTCCCTCGCTCACTCACTCACTCGCTCGACGGAAATCTTTGAACAATAAACTAGATCCACTCATTACGAGAGAATGCGCCCGTTGTTTTTCTCGCCAGGATCGATCCCAAGCACGCCCATCGGACCAGGAAGCCCGTTCTCGAGTCCCCGATTGTCATCCAGGTATCCTCCCGATTATCAGAATCGATCAGGAAGCGCAACGCAAGAGCCGTCACCCTTTGAAGCTTGCGCCGAATCTGACGTCGGTCGTATCCTGCATCTAGTCGATACTCGGCGATAAGCTTTTCTTATTTATTTAGTCACAACTTTCTGTTGTGTTGTTTCACCGTGCAGGACTTAAGAGTTTCGGGCGGCCTAAATAAAAGCGCGCATCGGTGAGTGAATTGATGTAGACTCCGATCAATTAGAGCTCTCGTAGGGCAGCTGGTGCGCAGGGATGCCCTTTGAGAAAATTCAAAGTGGGTATCCGATTCCAAGTAAGAAATATGCCGCTGGTATTCAATGTGCTGCTGTTCGTGATCATGTTTTCGCTTTCCGTAGACAATTGATATCTGCGAACCGCAAGCTTGACGGCCCGCGCTCCTGTGGGGGGTTTCATTGGATTAGTCTATCCAGACAGCGAATCCCATGAGAAATTCCGACCGCTGATGTGAAGTTACTGCCACAGATTTAATTGTTTCTAACGATGTTGTTTTCCTGTTGTTTTCGTCCAAAGTTCCCATCATGATTCGCGATCACTTCCGATGTAGACGTCCGTACCCGTTAATCCGTGTTCTAAACCGGCGGGAACCAATGCTTTGGCCGATGCCCTATTCCCCAATCTCCGTTGTTGTTCTCGCTACGACTGATGAGTCGTTGTTTTTGTTTTTGCTGGATGTCCCTCAAAACATGATACGACGGAAGCAACTCATTCGGTTGGTGGAGCCTGTGCGCATCGCCATTCCCTCGATCATATGCTCTCCAGGAAATTTCAGTTTCCCGAGACTGAGAATACGTACTTCGGCCCGTGAAAAGTCAAACGTGCTCACAGCCGGAGGTACAAAGTCACCGTAATCCCGAACCGCGGAGCCGCCGTTCGGGCTCAAGATGTGCTATTTTCCCCCTTGGACTCTCATTGTGCTGTGTTTGTAGCATTGACTCGATCGTCGGAAGGCTTCTACTGTTGAGAACGTAGGACGGAGAAGGAATAATGACAGAAGGAGGATGGTCCAGTTGAGGGAATATCGAGTATGGTGAGCTTCAGATTGGGAGGTCTCGCTTCTCGAGCTGCAGAGGACGACGATAAGGTTTCATGGAAAAAATTTCGTTCGAATTCAATTCCGGTGGTCGCGACAGCTCGAACGGTTTCCTTCGACATGAGCAGCTCTGGGTGCTCGTGTCGCCGTAGCAGAGAGAATGTTCACAGCGGCAGCCGCTGCTCTCGTAGTTTGTATCGCCGTTTCCTCTATTGAATGAATCTCTTGCCGCCGCCGCCACCGCTGCTGTGACGCTGTTCGCTCATAATGCTCAATGCCCTGGATGACAGACAGGCAGGCTGACGGATCGACTGACGGGTCGGGAGATGAATAGATACTGTAGCCGCTGTCATGCGACGGTGTTTTCCGATTCACGCGGGCGGCATCCTGGGGCTTGAGAGACTTGGTTGGAAACTACGGGAACGAAAAACGTCGTGCGATCGCCACTCTACGCGGATCCGCGCGCGGGGTGTAAACCGGTTTGCGTTCGTCCGCCTCCGAGGAGCCCGCCAGGCTTGTCGAGAAGGGCCGTGGGAGTTCCCGACCTATACCTACACAGAGCAGAGTTGTCAAGAAGGTTGACGCATCATCTGCAGATTCGTATTAGGCACATAAGCGTTGTCTCGCACCAAGAGTCGACGCGGAAAATTCGGGAACCCGATGGGCCACCAGACAAGCCTCTCTTCTGGCAGCTGTTTCCCATTTTTTTTTCGGGAAATGTCCGAGCATGAGAGTCAAGATCCGGTATTGCATCAATCCCTCCAAGGTGCTAGAGGACACGTGAATTCCATAAACATATGAATACAGAGGGGCGTCCACCTAAGTGGATATAGTTCCGGGAAATGGTCTGTAATCACAATGGCTGATGTCGACGTTCACATGAGGACCTGAACTAATTTCGAGACGAGATCTCTTCCCGGAATGACTCTGTCTATTCCTCCATTAATGCCGGCTTCGCGGATTCCTTTATCTCTCTTCGATCACGACACTCATATTTCAAGGTCTCGACTCTCGACGAATTAGGACTGATGACATCTTTTCGGAATCATCCGGTCAGAGTAATGCGAGCAGCCCTGAGAAATTGTTTCTTGGACCTTTTCCGTGAATTCGAGTTTTTAGATCATTCATTGATTTTTCACCCGAATAATGTGCGCCCGAAACGCAATCGCCCGACGGACACAATCGTACCTGCTGCGTGGATAGCCGCACGTGAATAAGAAAGTCGGATTATATGTAATTTCATGCGGTTAAAACAAGGGAGGTAGCACGAATCGCCCGTGACGTATATTCGGCTCGTTTATCAGCACCGATTCGCAAAGTGATCTGGGAATCTCATTCACGCAGGAGTTTCTACTGGGTCGAGGGCTTTCGGAGAGATCGTATGCGCCCGTCGATTGGACGATGGCTTCGACCTATGAGTAGACGATATCCTCCGAACGATGGCTACGCGGGAGATCACCCGGTTTCGCACCGGAAAAGCCGCACGAGGGGCCGACGAAGGTCTAATTTTCGCAAGAATCATCAGCGCGAGATAATTCCGTGGGTGCGCGGCTCCCGTGGACGAGGCATGCGTAATTCCCCGCGTAGTGCGTTGGATATCGGGAACAACATTCTGCCTCCACATTGTGGTTCGACTTCACAACTAATTCATCTTCTGATCGATGGGCATCTTCGAACGCGAGAGTTCATTTGTTGATTCCGTTGATCGATTACACCGGGGTGACCACGGAGGGCAAGCAAAGGTTCCATTTCGCCCTGTAATGATAGCTCTCCATTCAACCCCCCTACGAAAATCCGAGTTTTCCCCATGAGCGGATCCGATGGGAAACTCTAGGGGTGTCCTCGATGCTATTGGTGCTTGATGAATTGATGAGGAACGTCGTCGGACTTAATTGATTGAGACCTATCGTTCCTGTGTTTTCAGAGGAAACCTTCATCGATGAGCGCCCAAATCGTTGAGGCTCAAGTCATAGAGCCGAAAATAGTCAAGGAGGGATGGCTATACAAAAGAGGTGAGATCACAGTGAAACGTGAACTCATCGAAATAATAGATCACATTCGAATCCATCCGTCGTGTCGTTATTATTTGATCCGGACATTAACTCCTCGGGAACCTCAATGAAAAGTTCTGTCGGAGCCTAGCTCATCGATCTTCCATTCGGCATCAGGTGAGCACATAAAAAATTGGAGGAAGAGATACTTCATACTTCGGGACGATGGTTCCCTCATCGGGTTTAAGAATCAGCCCGAGCCCGGACAGTATTCCGATCCCCTGAACAACTTCACCGTCAAAGGATGTCAGGTGAGCCTTAATCATTCCCTCCGGAAACGCGCGACTCTTTTCGCATGGAAATCGCTCGGATGCGCGAGGTGTGACCCTTCACCGCTACCTTGCAGGTGATGTGTCAGGAACGACCACGTCCGTTTACCTTCATCGTCCGTGGACTGCAATGGGCTCAAGTGATCGAGCGCATGTTCTGCGTGGATTCGAATGACGACCGCGTGAAATGGGTCCGTTCGGGAGTAAATTCACGGAAAAAGTGGCGAGCGTCGAGTCGTTGATTTGCTCGGCGAACTTGTCTCACGTGGAGCTTCCCTATTCCGCAGGTGCAAGCTATCGAGTACGTCGATCAGAATCTCCATCAGGATGTTGAGATGGCTGAAGAAGCGTCGACTTTAGAACAGAGCAGTCTTCGCGATTCTTTCAATGCCGCGTACCGCCGGGATCGCCATTCGAAGATCACGCTCGATAATTTCGAACTTATCCGGGTGCTAGGGAAAGGAACATTTGGGAAAGTTGTTTTGTGTCGGGAGAGATCTTCAGATCAACTGTACGCCATCAAGATACTCAAAAAGCAGGTGAGCGATCAATTCTGTCGATTTTCTCCGCTGCCGCATCTCGAGCTGCTGGCCGAGTGTCGAATGACCCCGAGGAAGCTAGGCTTCTCATCGACACCAGCGCGTAGAGTCATCATCGTCATCGCTTTCGTTCCAGGTGGTGATAGCCAAGGATGAAGTTGCGCACACATTGACCGAGAGTCGTGTACTCCAGACCACGGATCATCCGTTCCTAATTGCTCTCAAGTACTCTTTTCAAACGGTAGATCGACTGTGTTTCGTGATGGAGTACGTTAACGGCGGCGAGCTGTTCTTCCATTTGACGAGAGTGAGTAATCAGGCCTCGCGGCAGCCGATAATATAATTGGAGAAAGTGAAACCATGATTCCTGTGGCGGCATTTGGAAATGGAAAAAAGTTGGAAACTCAAATCCGGGACGTGTCCTCGATAGGAGCGGATCTTCAGCGAGGAGAAGACACGGTTCTATGCCGCTGAGATCCTATTGGCCCTCGAATACCTTCACGAGCAAGGAATAATCTACCGCGATCTCAAGTTAGAAAACCTTTTGCTCGACAAAGACGGTCACATAAAAATCGCTGATTTCGGTCTGTGTAAAGAGGATATAACCTTCGGTGAGTGCACCCTCCACCCATAGCTGGCGACCATGAGCACTCCGTATGCATTCTTCAGCTCAGGTATCCTTTCAACGATCACGAATTCGAATCCGTTTCGAATGCTGGACTAATGGATAAATATTTTCCCCAGGCGGTACAACACGAACATTTTGCGGAACACCCGAGTATCTCGCGCCGGAGGTTCTAAACGACACCAACTACGGTCGTGCAGTGGACTGGTGGGGCCTCGGAGTGGTGATGTACGAGATGATGTGCGGTCGATTGCCCTTCTACAGCCGCGACCATGAGGTCCTATTCGAATTGATTGTCGCAGAAGACGTTCAATTTCCACCCACGTTGAGCTCGGATGCGAATACGCTGTTGCGAGGTCTTCTCACAAAAGATCCGAAAATGCGCCTCGGGGGAAGTGAGCGCGACGCCAAGGATATCAAGGAGCACGCATTCTTCCGCTGCATACCGTGGGAACAACTGCTCGCCAAAAGACTGGCACCGCCTTTCACGCCGCAGGTTGGCAATCCAATCGCTCTTCATTTGGGCATTTGAGAAAAACAAATAAGAGCTGCTCTCCGCTTCCATTTGCTAACGCGCGGCTTCTCCCCCTTTCACAGGTCACATCGGACACTGACACACGTTACTTCGATCAGGAGTTCACTGGGGAGAGCGTTGAGCTGACGCCACCTGATTACCAAGGAACCGGTGCTTTGAACTCGATATCGGAAGAGGTCGAACAGCCTTACTTCCAGCAGTTCTCGTACCACGGAAGCTCATCGGTTCTCTCGCGGAGTTCCGCCGACGCACCCTTGCCTATTTTACCTCCGACGAGCTAAACTTTCCTCAGAGAAGAATAACAGCGATTTCCCCGATCCCGCGTTTGTGAATGCCTGGATATGTGGAGGGAGGCGTCGGACAAATACGACGTGTCGATGATGCACAAGCGCCTGCGGTACGTGTCAGTCCCGAGGTTTCAGATTCAGGTCGGATTAAATAGCGGAGAAAAGTCAAATGAAGACGGGACAGGGAGAATATTTTCGAATGAGTGTGGAACGAGACGTTCTTCTACGATGCGTCGGTCGAGGACGAAAGCAAATAGACGAGAGGGGGAATGGGATACCCGCAGTCGTCAGACAACATCAAACGACTCTTCCCTGGCGGATAAGTTTCCCATTGCTCGCATCGAGTTATTGTACATTTGTACCGAGGAGTGCAACAGGGAGGAGCGAACTCGAACTCACAAATCATCGAGACAAACAAGAGAGGAATCAATTTACGCTTGAATTGAAGTCGGGCGCCGCACCCTTATCCCGCAGTCGCTCGTAGATCATTGACGATGGCTCCTACGATGTTAGTTCTCTCAGTTCATTGATTCAAATCATTCATCCCTCTGGTCTAAAAACACATATACATTCATGCCTACAACTCATTGAGAATATATACAGATATACATAAGGATTTATATACATCGCGGAATGAGTGCTTATCAACAAGAGAACAGCGTACCGGTGATTCAGCAAACAACGATCACAGTTTATGACATACATAGACCAGGCGGAAGAGAAATTAGAGAAAAAAATCGACACCGCGATTCTCATCATTAACTCCTCAGTACTGACGATTTCCGTTCCCGATTTCGACGGGGAGATCGAACACGTCGGAGTTCCTCGTTCGTAAGGGCGCAGGCGAGACGATTCGAATGCTGATAGAGTGCGGACGTTTTGGAGATTGTATGAGCTCTCCAGGCTCGGAGGATTTGTTATGCGATGCTCATGTTATGGGAATGTGACGTTGGCAATTGTAGTCCAGAATAATTGAGGCTATCGGCGAATATTGGCTCTGTTGGCAGAAAAGTTTCGACCATTCCCACCATCTATCGTGACGACGCTCACTCCAAGGCTCGAAATGATTCATCGTCTGAGCGCCGATTCCCCGCGTCCCGGATATCAATCGGCCACGCCGGTAAGAGCGATCTCCATAAAATCTCCAATAATCAAGGTGTCGGTAATTGATATTCCGGAGAATCCTTATCCACCGACGTTGTTCGCCTGTCGTTGAAGCTATTCAAGTCGACGCGGACTCGTCGAGGATCGGCTCTCGGTCGCGATCGATTCGCTTGAAACATCGAGCTAGATCGCTCGGAATCTTCGCGCTGATCGGATGCCAACACAGATTCTCAGAACGAGCGATCGAGTTGACCCCTTGAAGTTATTGCCTCCGTAGGAGGCGCCATAATCAAAATCTTCATCCCTCTCAGAGAGTTTCTGCGGTGAAAAGTTCGCTCGCCCTACGGAGCGCGCTGCTTCTGTCTAAGTCAGCAGACAAGGGGCTTCGGGGCATGGTTCCCGAATCGGGCGGTCAGAATAACGGTTTGGATGAGGCACGAACGTGACGTTGGATCGGAAAGGTCGAATTAATGATGATTTTCGGAAAATAACTGCTATTGCGTAGAGAACACAAGGATCTAGGAAAAGGATTGACTCGAATCTGAGCGTGCGTCCTCTGAGACTCTCTATACATATGTACTTTACTGTTCAGTATGTAAATGAGAACCGCCAGATAGGACCGACTGTAGGATAAGCCATCGTTTGACTAGTATGTAGGGACGAGGCGAGAAAGATTCACGATGTGACCAGTATGCAAACGGGAGCCAAATGGTGTAAATGAAATGGAGAAGTCATCTTGAGAAAAGTACGGACAGAGAAGAGGCCAAACATTCGGCCGGATTTCCGGAGGCAGAGCTACGACTTCCGACCCTCGTTCGCCTTTGAGGGTGCGTGAGAATGATGGAGCTGCTTCCGCGAACCGGCTCGGGTGGCTTCATGAGAGCAAGCGCACTATGAATAATTATATGTATGAACGGTAGGGCCATTGCCGTAGGGTGTTTGTACCCTCTCCCCCCTTTTCTCCGTATGCCCCGGGGACGGCATTCGCTATCGCGGCGTCAATCTCCCAATATCGAGCCACTTACGAGCGAAAGCTTGATACTATCACTCATCAACCTATGACTGGATGGCTGGGATCGCTGAGGGAACTCCTTGCTGGAGTTTGCCGTCGCTCTCGTCGCGCTTTTTTCCTAGCTCAAACAGATGCAGAATTTTGGAAACGCCAATGCGGGCGTCAAAAATCGTCTTTCGGATCGGAGGAAGAAATCATGGTTCCACGGAAACGGATTTTTCACGCTACGCAAGCGATTCAATCGGTAATCGGAGTCAAGTTGATTCCCTCCGTGATCGAAATTCTGGAATGGCTTCCCCAATCTCGGTACGTCAGCTGAATCTGAAGTTCACAAGTTGTCGGATGCCAAGGTGCACAAAGAATGACCACTAAATTCTTGCGGAGCTCAGCTCCGCGCATACGAGCTGGTGCGGCATGCCTGTGGGCGTCGGGAGCTGCATAGACAATGTGTGGATGTTCACCAACGAGGATATTCTCATGGCCTGACTCATACATTCACGATAAAGGACTAATGATGTGATAGACATACTCGCATTCATGTTATTTTTTCCAAGAATTGTATTGTTCACACTGGAACGGTTGGTGTCGAACGTGAGTAGACGAGTCGAGTGCTCGAACGCTGCTGGAGAAGAATACCTGCGATTTTGGGTCGGCGCCCCGCAAATGGATGCAATCGAATGTGAGAATATATCATACACACGGTGCCCCGCATTTGGCGCTACCTGAGTGAGAGAGGATCACAAATGAGTTCCTCATCCGCGCCGCATGAAGTGCGATTCCCGCATGTCCGATCTTCGAGAGCGGCCTTTCTCTCCCTGGTGATGAGATTACAATCTTCGCATCGTGTGTAATCTCCGGAAGAAATCAGACATTGTTAATATGTCGCTCAGTCAAATCTTCAAGCTATTGGAAGACAGGGGTGAGAGAAGAAGGGGGACTCATCCCACGCGACGAACACATACCAGCAAGATGCCGAATCAGATGTGAAAAATGATGCGGGATCTCTGTCTCACGAAGCGAATGCCGACAGCGACAGACGAAAAAGACACAGTCAAGAAACAGTCAGCTATTATCATCTATCTTTCATAGAGTGGGATTACTGAACTATTCCCCGATGAGATTTATTGTGTTTGTTTCGGTCTCATTCCGGGAGAAGTCCATTCGGCGTTATCCTCTCCGTGATTACAGCGAGTGAGGTGATGAATTGACAACGACACGACAACGGTGATCGTGGTGAGATACGCGCATCTGATTTTTCGAGAAAAGAACCAGTAGGGACATAGAGGGAGTCGATGATGCTGATTCCGACGGTAAGGCCGAGAAAAAACGTCTGAAAAAAGCTGGTGGACAAAATCGAACGCATATTATGTTTTCTGATATTGAATCGTCAGCCAATCACCATTGTTCCATCGCAGATGATGATCCGTTGATGTTGTTGAGGGAGAGGAGTGTTATTTCTTCCAAAGACTTCCGAGTCGAAATTTCGGACGGGGTAAATGTTTCCGCCTGTGATGATCTTGTGAAATTCTCGACGTTCCTTTGTAAAATAAGATCCATCGAAAGAAACGCTTTCGGATTCCCTCTCATGTTGCCCCTAATATTGTATCAATAAAAATGAACCGTTTCAACGAACCTGCTTTCTTCTGATTCCATCGTACTACGATGTTGAAACTGATTCTTGATTGCTTCCGAAAAGTGACCATCTCTGCAGCAGTGCTCATCGAGCTCGAGCCTTTCGCCCCTCACCGTCGGATTTGTCGGGTATTTTCCAGATTCTTCCCAGCTCTGGTAGCGAACCTGAGTTCGCAACTCGAAGGAGGCGCTCGAGACTTCTCGACCGCAAAATCCAAGCTCCCCCGAATCTCAATCGTCCGGCTCAGAAGGAGTATTGGCATCTCGAAACGGGGGAACTTTTTTTTCTTTTTCAAGGCATGGATATGGGGATTTCTTTTTCTCCCGGGCCTTGATACGGCGCCAAACTTTCAACAGATTCTTGCGCCCCTTGGGAGGTTTAGAATGGCTGGAGGCGAAATGAAGTCCAGAGAAACAGAGCGAGTTTTCCGAACAGCATCGGCTGAACAAAGACAAGGGAGGAACTGCCCACCTCCCTCCCTCCAACCGAGAAAGGATTATCCTGGAACATGCAAGTCCTCTGTCTGGGAAAATGATCACACGAATGTTCGATTGCCACATATTTATAAAAACATAAGCACTCCTTATTGTTGCTTCGTGGACCGAACGAGATGGAGTTTTAGAAGAGTCAGGTTTGAATCCATTCATTTGTTTCTTCTTGCCTAAAGGTGGAGAGGAATTCCAATGGTACAAAACCATTCTTCTATCCGTCCGTTCGAAAATCTGTCCGTCAGGTTCGACTGCCTAACTGTATTCCGCCCGGTCGGTCGCATAGTTGGCTGGCTTGTAAGTCGCTGATTGACTGACGGAAGTTCGACCTGTCCACCATCAGTCACGCCCTGGGGCTTCACCTCGTATGAGTCGTAGAGGGACCAGAAAAATATAATTGAAAAGCTCGCGCTCTACGTTATTCAGTAGTAGCGACTAATTAGTTGGTACTAGGCCGCTAATAGGGAGGAGGTTGGGATTTTCAGCGCCTCTCTTCGAGGACACCAAAAGAAAGAGACACCTCCCTCGAGAACGAGGTGACTGACTCATGTGCGGGGAGCTCACGAGCGTCCCATGCTTATGATAAGACTACGTGAACTCCTTCGAATTCAGTTTTCGCCGTGCCTTCACGAGTCAACAACAGGCGCTTCTTCAATTATTGATCCTCGCGCTAATGTGTGAGTGTGTTTGTCTGTCTGTCCGTCCCAGTCGAATCGTTCAACCTCGGGAAAAATTTCGCCTGCGACTTCGTCGGCCTTCTTTTCCCCCCTCCGTGTCGGGATGCGTCGCCAAGTTACAAATTCATTCTTCAAGTTTCCCCTCCTGCGCTGGCTGGCTCGCCCCTCGAGAATCGTATAATGATGTTGATGATGATCGGAGAGGTTGGAACCAGCGAGATAGTAATTGGTGATGTGCTCGAAGTCAGGCTCGAGGCAGCACGGTCTAATCCTCGTCTTCCTCAGATTCCTCCTCGGCGGTTTTGAGCCATTCGACGAAGGATTTCATCTGGTCGAGGAAAACGCCCTTGCCTTTCTGAGTGTGGCCATCATTGTACCACTTGTTGATGGTGTCCTCCGACAAGACGTCCTGCTTGTAGAGGAGAATCACGATCCTTTGGAAGACCTTGAGGAAATTGATGTTGTCGTAACAATACTCCTGGATTGCTCGCATCAAGGCCATTTCGGCCTTGGCACTATTCGCGAACTCCGAGAGAAGCACAGCTTCCTGACGGAGGTATTTGAGACTCTGCTCGGCAGCGAGCTCCTCTTTCTTGTTCCATTCCTTCACGTTCATGAGAGTGTTCCACAAGAGAACAACAACATCAGCGTCGGTGAGGCCATAGGTTTGGCTTTTCTGGGTAATCTCTTCAATTATTTTGTCTCTGGAAACGTTCTCTTCGATCATGTACGAGACCGTCGTCTGGATCTCTCGCTTGACCGACTGGCAAGCATGAGCCTTGTGGAAATCGACCAATGCCTGGAGACCGTTCTCGCTGAGCGCGAGGGTTAGGTTGGCCTCGTTCCTCTTCGCGATTGGCATGAAGTCGAGGAGCTTCTGCTCCAGCTGGCAACGTCTGAGGGTGCTCCAAATGGTGGCGGCGTCTTTCTCCTCGGCCCACCTCTTGAGACAGTCCATAAGGAAAGCAAATGCGAGTCCATCTTTCACGATGTGATCCTGGAGCAGTTTGGTGAGAACCGACGGGGGAATCAATCCAACAGAAAACAGTAGTGCGCTCACGGTGGCAAGTTTCTGACGCTGTTCTGGCTCGATGCCTCTCAGGAACATGAGAACTTTACCGAACGAATCTTCCAGCGACCGTTCGAGGTATTTGTACCTGCGGATGAGTTTCACAAACAGGTTCGCGAACCCCTTCAGATGAGGATCGTCTTTTGCGCAGAACACGCAAATCTCCGTTGTGCCGGGCTGACCATCACTGCGTGCATCCTTGAGAACGCTGCCCCCAGGAGCGAGGATTCCTGCCGGATGAAGAACTCGGGTCAGCTATCTCAATAATCACGTACCGTTCAGAATTTCGAAGAGCTGATCCACAGTCTATAAAGTCGATTGGTCACCCTTGCGAGCGTGTGGTTCGTAAAAGCAAATGGGCTCACCTCCAGCGATAATCAAGTCGAAAAGTACTTCGGCGTATCTACGGTAATCGAGTTTGTTCCCAGCCGAATCGAGATACTTATGCACACCGTCAAGATCCGATGCAACACACTTGTTGTTCTCAAAACCAGTCAGGATAGCGTCGCGGAAGCCAATAGTATCGTACTTCTCCTTTTCATCTGCGAAAACAGAGCGGCCCTGGTCAGACGACGGGCGACGTAATAGCGTTATAACCCCGAGGAGGGCGACCGATTCCGTCGATCCGAACCATCGGATGCCTCCGTCACGCGGAACGATTTGAATAAGCGAGCTCCGGGCAGTTGTACAACTCAGCAAACATTGTCTCACTAATCCCATCTCAGCGAGTTTACCGAAACGCATTACATGGAAACGATTACGAATGGCTCGATCGAATCAATTTAGAAACTAAGGAGAACCCAAGGATTACGAAACTTATCCCGAGGGCCAGAGAACGGTTCTGCTCGCGATCAGTTCTCCTGGGTTCTCCCTATCTTTCGATCCACTTGAACATTCGCTTGTTTCCGAAATCGCCCGCTGCGGACTCCGAAATCTATTGACGGAATCCTGGAGGCTGATGACACTGAGGGGAATTCTACCTGAGCCTGCTCCGGAGCGCAATCTCGTAATACTATGAGCGATCAATGTTACTTTATTATGCGTCTCTATTACAACGTTTCCAGTCAGAGCTCCGACAGCTCATGCGGAGACGGAGCACGGGATCCCCGGAATGAGGACTCGTTGAGGAGCTTGCTTTCTTGCAAATTATACCAGCGCGCGGGAAGAAAACCATTCGGTCTGTGATTCCACTCACCCCTCTTCCGAGTTTTGATACGTTGCCCTGAAAGCGACGGCTTTTCTACTTTTTGACTCATCCAAGAGCTGACAATCTGACCGAGTCACTGCAACCAAAGAATCTCCATTTAGTACGCGAAGTGGTCGATGAACTAAAACGTGACGGGATAGCTTCTGTAGCGTTTTGCCTCCCGAACGATTATAGGGTGCTCATTGAGGTATTTGAATCTCGGTTCCACCAACAGGAAATCCAGAGAGCAAAAACGAACTGTCCGTCGGTGGCTCTTTCATTGGAATCATATCATTAGCGCGTCTCTGGCATTGTTCAGGACGCGACTCAGAAGAAGAGATCTGAGAATACCGACGAGCTATGAGTCTTTCGGACGCGAGAGCTGCCAACCATAGCCTTCAGTTTCTGGGGGGAATCCATTAGCCCCGGCGTTCATGAGGAGCGGAGGCGTTCAATCTACTCAGATCTCGGAGAGGCAAAATGAGAATCCTGCCCGAAACGCGTGCCCAGGGAGGAACCAATGACGGCGGGGGAGCTCTCGGGCCATACGGACCATGTGTACGGACGGACATATTACACTTCGTCCGGAAGCTGACTACCGTGAAGGGCCATCAGAAGATCGACATGCCAGGGCGGCCGCGGAGCTCAACCGGCTTCTGTGTAATGCTTCGGAGAGCTAAGGGCATCCATTCGTGGTGACCGCGCTGCTCTCAACTCGGCTTCGAGAAACCTAACCTCATACATTTCCCTCGATTCTGGATGGAATGGAAAATGGCCGCTCAACGAGAGCTTCGGCCGTCGCAACCGATGCGACCGCAAACTAGCGAGCGATACCACAGCCAAAGCTAACCGTTCCAAGGCGGCAACACGAGGCAGGCACACAGACAGAATCGAATTCGCAAGCCTCTCCGGAAGGGTCTGGCAGCTATCGCGTTGCAGAGTGTTAATCGAGTGTCGGACCAGCCTCAGCAGAAAACTCTCGGGACTCACGATCGGTCAAGGGGTTGACATGCGTCGGGAGCCAAGAGAATGGATGCGGATCTAGGAGGACCTGCTGAGCCAGGAAGTCGAGACGCCACTCATCTACGCGGAGAAAACGGCCACCGGTGTTTTCACCTAATTCTTCGCGAAAGATACTGACGTCTAGTGAAATGAACTGATCTGGCAGGCTCGGGTGGGAGGATTGAATAGCACCCGAGGATATCGACTCGAGACAAGCCACAACACTTCAGCTGTGGTCGGTGAAGCCAGAAGTGCAGCGATACACGAGACGCCAGAACAGGCCGCCGTGTGTTATGGCCGACACCTCTCGGGAAATTATTCTAACTGGCGAGAACCCAAACCCACAACAATGCGGAATATGGAGCGGAGGTAGAATTCCCCGTGTGGGGGGTTTTAAGCGATAATTTTGGGTTGTGTACGTACGTGACGTGAGTTGAATTGGACTGTTGAAACAGCAATGATGTCGTCCACAGAGAACTTTCACCGAGACGACTTCGCCGCCATCTTGCCGCGGTGGCGCCCCAGTGCAGGCTCTCACCTGGCGCGAAATTCAATGATATTTGAATTTGAACGTCCTGCCGCCAAGGTGATGGAAGCCGGACCTTCCTTTTCGGGCGTGAGCAGCTCTGTCTACATAGTCGAATGACGAGGAGCCGGTTTGTCTTGTTCATTTCGAGCCGCCCAGCTACATACAGGTCCCGGACATCCTCGGCAAAGAATCCCTTCATGGGGAAAGATTAAAGAGGGTTGATTTTTTTTCTTGGAGCGGATGTGGGGCATGGTGAAAAATGCGTCAACGTATGACCTAGGAGAGTGGAGAATTCGACTGGAGTAAGGGGCTCTTGTGAGAAGTACTCACGAAAAAAACAACGAACTGAAGCCCTCTACGCGGAACAAGAGAGCGGATACCGTTGGATTTCAAGAATTATTCAAAATCGAATAGTGAGGGAAAAACTTGACTGGGAAGGGGATTCCATAAACGGGGTCCGCGGGGTACAAACTTGGAGTTGAGTTGAGCTGTACGATTGGTAGGAAGTTGAACAGGAAAAGGGTGTAATTTGGCATTTTTCCTGATGACTCGGGCGGGTACCGGAGGAACTTGGGAAGGAATTTCAGCATTTTCCATGGGAAAGCTTATAAAATAGAGAGAGGTCGGTAACCTTACGTCGTCTGTGAGCGATCACCCTGAATTCGAGAGCGCATAGCTTCGATCGTGGAAAAAGCGGTCTGCGCAATCCCGGCGCCATAATGGCCGTCCTAGCCTACGGCTCGAGGCTAGGCTGGAGGCAGACGAGAGAGAAACGTCTCGCCTACCTTCCGGTGTTCTCGACGGAGTTCTTCAGAGAGCTGCAAAGCAGGTACCGCCTGAGAAAGACGTTGGCGATCAGGCAAGGCCGCAAAAGAGACCTCAAAACGGGAGGAGACACCGTAGTCGCGGCATGACCTCGCCTAAGGCGCGCAAGAGCAAGGCGTGTCCGTGTTTCGCTCGAGACTGACGCTCCGCCGGGACACTTATGGCCTCATTCAAGACGACTGACTTTCGATGACTGAATGAGGAAAGAAGATCTTTGCTTATTGATCAGGTCCCAGGCTTCTCTCTTGGCGTTACGAATCCTAGCAGAATAGCGACTCACAAAATCGCGGGCAGCGGGGCGATTCCGACCAATTGAGTTCTGGCCGAATGCCTCAACTTGGCCAGTGGTTCCCCTGGGAGTTTCGTATTCCATCACAAGCTGTAATCCGGCTCCGCTTCTCTCGGGATTCTCAGATTGTGACTCAATTACCTTAAGGGCACGAAAACGTTCTGTATGTCGAACATGAAAAGCCCCAGAACGTTGACATGAGCTACCAGAGCCCTCGGAGAACGATGAGTATTCCAGGAGTTCGGTTATCTAGGCCTGTGTGCGGGAAACCAATAATTGTGACTGAGTGTTCCGGCAATGGGAATGGTTCGAGGCTTTTGCCCAATGCTCCGGAAACGACTTCAGATCCCTTAACAGGGGGGGAGATGTATGCACCAAGCTATGAAGACTCTATGGACCACACAGAAGAGGTATGTTCTATCCACGATACTCAACACAGTGTGAACGGAGCCTTCTCTAGCCGGAGCTCGCTCGGACACACACGGAACGCGAAGAGCCGAGGTTCCCTCTAACGAGCGGGGGAGCTTTCCGTTCTCGGCTCCTTCGTCTAGAATGCGGGGCGCCCTCTCTTCTCATCCTAAAGGATAGTCCGTGAAGTTCGATGCTCTGTTGCGTCCAGTCCCTATCAATGCACATTTTTATTTGATTGAGCTGTACATTCAGCGAGGGCAAGAGGATGAAAAAGGAGAACTCCGTCCGGGGGTCTTCTGTTAGTGGTCTCGGCGGTTTCCGGGATGGAGCTCTTTCGACCGGGTAAGGGACAACATTGCTCATTAAGGGTAAGCTCCCAGACTTCGTTGTTCTCACTAATCAGCACTCATCTCATGAACTCATGACCGTGGGATCATGTCGCTGTGACGCCACGAGACGGTGGGGGGAGCACCGATCTCAGGAAGGATTCCACCGGTGGTACTTCAAGGAGTCCATGAGCTGATCAATCCTCAATTCGACATGTCGTTCCTTATTAAGAGGTCTCATCTTGACTCATAATGGCTTCGCGAAGACTGAAACTTTGAGCGACGCCAGATGTCCATGACGCGGAGTCAAACACGGAGGAGAGATTGTAACAACAGAATCCCATGAGCTCATCGAGCTCGTCAAGAATCACTTTTGGCTGGTAAAGCCGCGGCACCTCCGTCCTCCTCGCGAGATTAATGCTTAATGACGGCTCGTCTCGGAGCCAACTTCCTTCTCCTATCGTTGTGCGTTCTATCGTCTTCCGAACTGGAAGACTCGGAAGAAATCTCTTCATCTCGCTGCGGTCGCCGACGATTCGTGTCCCTCTTCCGCGAACAGTTGTCTGGCGTCCGCCGCGTGTTCGAGCGACTTCTTCGCTCCTTCTGAGAGGAACGATGACGTCGACGTTTCCGGCATCTCTCATCTTCGCTCGAGGATGACGATGAGGTCGAAGATGATGAATCCTCCGACGAGGAGAACTCTGATGAAGTCGTCTCGGATGAGGTTGAGCTCGACGTTCCGGTCGTCGACGACGCGGAACCCGATGAGGAAGACGACGAAGAACTCGAGTCGAAGTCCTCCTTGGGTCTCCTCCTGGTTTTCGAACCCCCGTAGGTAGATGAGCCGAACTCGAGCTCATAGAATCCTGCGTGATCCCAACGCTCGGTGTCAGCTCCACTCGGTCGCGTTTTTTTCCTTAGTTCCCCGACTGTGCTCTGAAAAATGGAAGTCACCAAGTTTCTTAGAACTCGCCAGTCGAGAAGAAGATGACGAAGTTGATCGTGTGTGGATTAATTGAATGAGTAACTGAATTTGGGAAAAATAATCGAATAAGAATAATTGCAAAAATAAATCGAATTTGAATAAAATGAAAAAATTGATCCAGTAAGAATGAACCGGAAAAAATCGAATAAGAATGGATCAATCGAACTTGAATAAATTGACTAAGGTAATCGAGTCTGACCAAATTGAAGTTTGAAGCGATCGACCGTGGATCTGATATGGACGAAACGAGGCGTGCTGGCGGTTCAAGGGGAAAGGAGAGAAGCTACAAACCTTCTTGGGACTGAGCTTGACATGTGTCTTGCGCTTCTCAGCTTGTCGAGCTTTTTCTTTTTCGCGGGCCCTCATCTTGATGACGTCGTCGCTGACCATCATCGTCAAACCCTTCTCAAGTTCCCATTGCTTCCACATTTCTTGCTCTTCGAGAACTTTGTTGTGGAATCCCACCGAGTGGATCGTATTCTTGAGCAGGTCTTTGCCTGCTCTCGACAGCATGTCTGCGTTTTGTGTACCTGCGAAGATGGATTCCATGTTCATTTCCGATCAGGTTTCTGAGTGCTTCCCCAGCCATTTGGAGAGCCGCTGATGAGATTCAGTCGCGGCAGTCTCCGGGTAAATCCATCGCGACACCGATTCTGACAAGTGGCATAGCCATTCGCTAGAGCTTGGAGCTTCGTCATGAAACTTCGACTCCGGATGAATCGCCGAAATATGCAGTCTAAGGGGTTACGTCATCGATTTGAAACCTTCTGGAGGAGCAAGAAGATTCCTACCTGCGGAGACCCTCAACGGCAATGACAGGAAAGCTTCATGCAAGCCAATCTCTTGGGGGTCCTGAGAATTCTCGAAAGAATTCCGGTTCCGGACCAGAAATTCCGTGTACACCACAAATGAGACTCTCGACATTTACAACCGAAAAAAACCATACTGCCGACGCTGACCTCGCTTATTGCGGAGCTATTCGGTGTTCCTCTCTTGAAGCTACTTCTATGGGTCAGAGTTGGGTACAGGGACTCAGGGCACGATAGAGAGTTTTCAGTTCTGAACGTCCACAATACGAGACGGAGAAGCATAAAACTCCTTTCGATCTTTTAAGCGAAGGAACTTACGTTGGAATTGTGCGATGCGCTGGTAATTTTATCCGGCCGATGAATCATTCGCAACGATAACTATCACACTTGTAGAACCATACCACCCCAGCGCGAAATACAAGCACGAAGGCCGGGAGCTCTGGTAGATTTTCTCAGAGCTCTGGCCCAGAGTCTATCGGCTGGGTTCCAGCTGGATTCTACTGGCTAGAATTTCTTGTCAACATGAAATTTGGCTTGCACGCTCTCACGATTGCACGTAGAACTTTTGCACGCCGATACGTGTGCCTAAATATGCGAGCAGTTGTTTGGAAGTTGAGTTCATGGGTCTATGCGCACAGGCGGATTGAGGGGTTAGACCCCCAAAAACGGAATCTGTGGTCTGTCGAAAGAGAGAGAGGAGAGTGAAGACAACGATGCCCATGATCTTTGCTTGGATGGAGCGTGCAAGCGGGCGGTTGCTCCCCCTGCTTCTTGACTGTATCATCGACCACCTCTGATTTATGAGGAAATAAATCTATGCGAACACGCTCCATCATCTGGAATTACTGGGTGGGCCCATGTGATATTCAGTGATTCAGTGAATTCACGCATTCAGTGATCTCATGAACTCAGGAAGAGGCCGGGATGGGCCGCTCGTTTTCGCCAAGAAGATCAACTACAATCATGTACTGAGCATAAATCAGTCCTCAAAAGTGTGAATTCGAGCTCTCTGTCTCTGGGGAATATACTTCGATAGTCGATAGGAATATGGGAAGCTCCCTCACGGATATTTTCGGCCTGATTTCGAGTTTGAGGACCTGAGGATGAGACTCTGAAGAGCTTACTCGAAATTCGCTAAGGACACCGGCTTCTCTTCGCCTAGCCGAGAGATAATTTAAGCTCCCAGCATACGGGGACATGATATAACTCAGATTCGATTGACTCGGGGAACTTCAACAGGCAATGGGGATATTTCTCCCGCTACTGCGGATTGAGCCGAACGATCGCCCAAATAATACAGCTCCTCTCCAGGGTGCGGGATACGAAATAATATTCAATAGCCCAGCGGTTCTCAACCTGGGTTCCGCGGAACCCCAGGGTTCCGCGAGCCCCTGCTCGGCTGCTCAGACTTTCATTCATATTATCGAATTGGAATGAATTTTCTAAGCTCTAATGCAAGCAGGATACTTCATGCGATCGTGGTCGAAGGTTTTGATGTGATTAGGGGGAAAATTTGGAGAGATAGAGTCCGAAACCAATAACAAGGGTTCCGCGGAACCCCAGCAGGGTTCAGCAGGGCAAAAAAGGTTGAGAACCCCTGCAATAGCCAGTCTCTGTCAGCCACAATTATTCCGTCCATCGCTCGAGGCAGCGTCATAAGCCCACGTTTGAGCATCGCTGATCGATCCTTATTAAAGTTCGCGGTCCTCGCCCTTGTGATCGCCACGCTTAGGCTCTGGACTTATTTTCATACAATATAATTATAGCCATACCCGCCGATCGCGGGAATTAGCTCACTCAGAGAAGCCTCCGGAGTCTCTTCGGGCGATCTGCCTTCGATGAACGTGTCGAGCGTCGTCGCGCAGAGAAGATGCCGCTGCTTTTCCGACCCTTGCGCCTACCTCCCCGATTCGCACCCCGACGTGAATAGATCCGAAAAATTGGAACTCCGCAAAGTCGGAGGGCTGCCTGATCGCGCTCGAATTTCGAGCAGAGATCATAGAGATCATCGAAATCAATCCCCCATCGACCCATCATTCATCGCCCGTCCATTCAAGTCTTGCTTGTACCCCGATAGACTCAGCTCTCGGAACGATTCCGAGACGAGTCCAGCACACGGTCTACGACAGGCGCGGTCCGAGAGCGTACGAGCCGGAATCGAGGTCCCACAGCGAGTTTCGAGAAGGCGCCGCAGCAGCAGTGGAAAAGCAGCGGGGATCAGGCGAAGGAAAAACAAAGATTTGTTATGTTTACAGAGGGCGCTCGCGCTCCCCTCCCTAGCCAACGCAGACCAGCGTCGCTGCAGAAGAACCTCTTCGTAGAGGGTGCCGCATCCAACCAGGACGACGGATTTCTCTCCGAAGAGGTCGCGTCCCGCGGCAAACTCGACGTGAAGCAGCCTGGAACTTTCAGTTCCGGCAGAGCGGATCCGGGACGGTGGATTGCGCGATATTTTCTCCAGCCGAGCTGGCGGTCTTGGATTTCAGGCGCGAGAATCTCCTGAAATTCCCTTATCGCCGGCGTACCGAAATGTTCCGGAAGGAACCCGATGATGCGACCGAAACCAAAGAATCGGCTCTACGGCCAGCCGGAAATTCGAATTCGAGACGAAGAGCCCATCGATACGGTGGCGAACGTTTCGAGATGGCGTATACCCTCTTTCGAAGCCAAGCGACGCTCTCCGATGGGTCTAGGGAATCTCCTCGAAAATTCTGGGTACAATCTAGGGAAGCAGAGAGAATTGAAAGCCGGATTGGCTGTGGGCTAAGGTAGAGCAGTAATACAGCAGGCTACAAGATGGTTGCCGTTTGTATTAGAAGTTGTTGTGGTCTTCGGCTTGTTGTGGGGTGAAGGATAGTGACATCGGGGCTCTGGCATTGCTGTCTACTCTCATCATGAGCTCGAATCACTAGTGAAGTGTTGCTGAAGCCGTGCGAATAGCGAGGAGAGATTTTGAGCCAAGACTCTCCTCGGAGCCAAGATAAGTGGTCAGGCTCTTGACGGATCCGTGGAGGCGGCCGGTACCGAAGGTGCCGGGCCTGAAGCTCCCGAGATCCGAGTGGGACCTTCGTATCAGGCTCAGTTACCTCTTTTCCGTGGAGAGATGCCACACGAACGCAGGACGCTTCAACTACAAGACGATGTGAGTACGGCGCCAAAAAACGCACGTTTCCCACACAGCACGCCCTCCGATTCGGAGGAAGTGGACAGAGATCGCGGTCGACGGGGGACGACCCCGTCCACGGCACCGATCGTCCGGTCAGAGTGTGGCGATTGCGTGCGTGCTTCCGCACGAGCCAACGAGCGAGCGAGCGTGCGTTCATGCATGCATCGATCTTTGGCACCTTTTCTTCTGGAGAACCCGAAGCATCGCCGCTGCCGCGACCGCCGACGATACTCGGGATATATTTTTTATTGATCTCAAAGCTGACTGTAGTCACGATTTGAACACGGCGCATCGCTTCTCAAAATCCGAGGAGGAACGAGCGGGATCGCCGTCGTCGCCGACGATCCGAGTTTCGAACCGATCATAATCGCCATATCGTTCTTGTAGTAGTTGTTGCTGCCGCCGCCGATGCGGCTGTCGCGGCAGCGGCCGCCCGCGGCTGCTGCTTGTAACGAGCACGAGCGATGTGTGAACGATGCGGCGCTGGATAGAGCGCATGTTGACGCCCGAATGTATTTCTCCTGCCAAAGTGATTTTCAGCCGATTTCAGGCGAGAAAGACTGAACTCACCGTCACAGCAACGGCCGCCGTCATTGCCGCGTGAGAGTGGACTAGAGAGCTTGCCTGTCGTCCGCTCGGTCAGACAGACAGTCAGTCAGTCAATCGGTCGGTCGGTCGGCTTGATGATATATTTAGATTTCTGTGGCTGCCACAGCGAATGGCGTTTAAAATACGGAGACATGCCGCATCAGATAGGGACATTTGTTAAATTGTCACACTTTTACTCCGACAACGGTTTAGCGCTCGTCGTCGTCGTGGTGGTGGTGGCGATGGTCGTGGCCGCGGCGCCCGAGCGAATATAAGCGATTGGCTCACTTTCCGCTTTCTCGCGTCGATCTTCTTCTCTCTAGTTGACTGTCTGACGAGTGATCTGCCTGTCCGACTGACTGCCTACCCGCCTGGCTTCCGGTCGATTGGCCTGCCCGACTGCGTGCACGTTCGCCTGCCTGCCCGCCCGTCCGGCCGTCGGCCCGTCCGCGCGCCTGCCCGCCCGTGAAACACTATACGCGCGCACGCGCACACGCTCACGCCTTGTGGTCATTAGAATCTCACACAAACGAGGGATCTCGAGATGAAAAATTGTGAGGGATACGCTCTCGCATTCGCTCGGGGCTCCCGTGTGTAGACGCTCTGGAGAAAGCTTTCGGGACCACCAGCTCTGACACGTTTGTCTCAGCCTGTCTGTCACCATCTTTGCGTACGGGCTACGATGAAGATAGTGACCCTGCCTGTTTCTCTATTTGTCTGCCCAATCTGTCGAGCGACACGGTTATGCTGCGTGTTCGGGCGTCTACCCGAACGTGTCGAGATGCATCGATTCGACTTACACAGCTCGGTATGGAGAGCAATCGATTCCTGACGTTGCTGGCGGTGTTTCCCTCCCTCGGAATGGAGGACCGCATCAGGGAATCAGAAGGGAGCGCTCTCTTTTCTCGCTGCTGGAAGAAGCGGCGGAACTCAGGTTTTTCCATGTGTGTACAATGCGGGTGTTAGCTCACGATCTCGGTGAAATCGATTCGTTGGGATTTGGGATCCCCGGCGGGAGGCATCGGGTCAAACGTTTGGGAAATGTTTGGCAAGGTTACCTTCGTGAACTCAGACCTCTTTCGGTGGGACGTAGTACATGAGAACTATTGTGATTTTCGCGATATTGATGTATGTACCGCATTGGGCAACTCCGACTAGCGCTCGACCCGCCGCGCGGAGTTCACTATTTCCGGACGGGAAATAAATTTCATACATACGCAGCGCTTTGAAAAGCGCGAAGAGATCTTGTCGAGATGCGACCAAGATGGACGGGACGGCTTCGCGAGAGTCGTCAATAAATCATCGGGTCGCATGCATACTGGTCAAGGTATAGGAGCGAACCTTGGAAAGAAGAGAAACCTCTAGAGCCCAGGCTGTCTTGTCGGTCGGATGCGGCCAAGCGTGTAAGTGATGAACGGCTCAGAGCTCGGAGTCATCTCGTGCGGCATGAAAGATCGCCCTGGAAAATCGACAAGCCGCTCTCTCATTAGACTCCTTCTCCCCCTCTCTCGCGTTCCGAACGACAGTTCCGTTCACCGTCCGTGGCCTGCGTACATGACTCGACTCAATCGGATGAGGAGAGAAATCGGCGTTCACAGAGCTGAATCATGGGTTCGACGTCGGAACAAATTTGATTCGAGTCGTGAATGACATCCTATACCCCAAAGGTTTCATATTCCGAGAAGAAAACGTTCCTCGTGCCGTTTTCCGGGTTTGCATACGGGTATTTGAGAGCCGTGATATCGCTTCGTGAAACGACGGTCGGAGCGACTCCGTGAGCTCGATTGGCTGATCGGCTCACGGACCCATCTCGATCGGGAATCACTCTCCGAAGATAGCCCAGTCAGACAGTATCCAGGGAAAGTTTTACCACGGTCACCAGCAACGAGCAGCTGACGTGTGACATTTTCGAGGAGATCCTGAGCAGCTCTCCTCCGAGTCGCTATGCTGATCAAATGTCCATGTCTCACCCCTGGTGGTGGCTTGAGGTTCGGTCTTATGCGGTCATGTTTCTCCGAAACTCAGCGTTTCCGAGAATCGAAGTGAGGAATCGAGTGAGGCACCACCCGGTATTGATGTGAGAGGAAGTCGTGCCCCGGATCTTCTCGTGAGGAAGCACCGGCTCGATGACCAACCGTTTTTCCGGATGAGGAAGAATACGATTTTCCCAATACCCAGATCATTATTATTGCTCCGCAATGTTCTTCTGTTGATAGTGGACGTGGCTGCATCGATGAGACGATCGAATATTCTCGGCCTAGCCGGATTTTCAATCCGTAATTCAATTGTGTAATTACCTACAGTCAAACAGCCCGCACTGAAATTCCGACGTTCCATTCCAGAATGTTGTTCAAGAAGAACTCCGATGGGCACCTGGCGTTCCAGACTGTGACTTGCTCATGTACCTTCGCGCGGCGCGCTCCATGGCAGCCTTTGCAGGAATGTGCGACGGAGGAAGTGCAGAGGACGGATGTGTGGCAGCATCGAGAGACGACACGACGATCAACGCCCTGAACCACCTTCACGACAGCGAGTACGACACTGGCAAAGCATTGCAGGCGCTTGTGAAGAACCCGAGAGGACGCACAAATAATAATAATAAATTTAACGAAGAGGACCAGAAGAAATTCGTACGAGGTCTACGTCAGTTCGGCAAGAATTTCTCTCGGATACGCAAAGAACTACTCCCCAACAAAGAGACGTCCGAGCTCGTTGAGTATTACTATTTGTGGAAGAAGACGCCGGCCGCCCTCGGATGCAGGCCGCATCGACGGCCCCGAAGAAGCAACACGAGACGGCCGCCGAAAGGAGACAAGAAGGGCAAAGGAAAAGAACAAGCTAATCATGAGGATTCGAACGGTATCACCGACTTCGAGTTGGTGCTGAGTACAGCCCCGCAGTGCTCGGTGTGCCTGATCGCCACTCCGCGCGACTGGTTCATGGCAAAAGGCAAAGATCTCTACTGCTACGATTGTTCGATAAAGAAAAGTGGAGAAAGTCCCGCTTTCCTCTGCCAACCGGTCGGAGTCGTTCTCGGTGACACCGGCAAGTGGTACGTCAAAACGAAAACGCCCCCTCAACAGAACGGCAAGGACAAAGAAGCCAGACAGCAACAACAACAGCAACAAACACCTCAAGCGTTACAGCAGCCATCGCAACAACAACCTCGAACCCCGCAAGAAGACGGAATAAAGAAAGAAAACGGCACGCCCGACCTGGAAGACGAACGGAAGGCCGACACGAACGAGAACAGCTGCAGTAGCAGCGCCGGCGGAGATACACCCGCGAACGTAACTGACGTCAGTATGCCTGATAGCGTCAAACAAGAAAACGCACCAACTCCCCACGGGGAGTCGTTGAAACGAGCTCCCAGCGAAGTCAAGCAGGAATCCATGGAAGTTTCGCAAGAGCCCGATAGCGCTACATGTGCTGCTCCTGCTGTAAATAATCAGACAAACAGTCCGAATAGTAGTAATTATAATGAAGTCTCGTCAACCGCGGCCAGTACTCCGACAGAAACGCGTTCCACCGATTCGGCGGTCGACAGCAAAGACCAAGCCAAGAAGCAAGCACAGGATTCTTCATCACAGAATGAACTCAGTCCCAATGGCTCCGTGCCCTCAGCCGAGAACCTCAAGGTGAGTCAGCGTTTTGGCGAGCCGTGTTATTGTCCTTCGCTCTGGAAAGGCCATCTATTCTCAATCTAAGATCCTTTCTGAAATTTTCATCATTCAAACAGATCAAATATATCGTGATCAAGAAAATCCCAATTATAATTTTGATGATGGTGATCAGTACTCAGTACTCAGTACAGGAGATACTGTTTGACGCTGCCGCCCACATTCCCGTGCTTCGACCGAGCTTCGGGACTTCGGATTTTCATTGATCTAATTCGCCATAATCGTTCCAGGTTCCGACGTCGATTTCACCGAAGGCAGAAGCCGAGAATTTGGTGAAGAAGGAAGAAGTCAGGGAGGAAGCATCGGCACCGGCGCAGCCTCCGCCGCTATCGTTACCGTTCAGCATCGGCAACGTCATGGAACCGAAGAGGGAACAAGAAACGCGCGAAATCGCCTATTCTCCCGCGAAATCTCTTGTCTCTCCGAAGACCGAAGAAGTGTATGTGAAACAAGAGGTGTCAAGACGAACTCCTGACACCCCTCGAGCGACCCCGCCCGCGATGTCGTTCGAGCGCCGCATGACGCCGCCTGTTTCCGGTCCTGTTTCGTCATCAGCGATGCCACCGAAAATGTCTCCCCTGTCCATAGCAGCGTTAACTGCTCCGCTGACCTCATCGCCGTCCTGCGAATCGCCTCGTCCCAAACGCGAAATGACGCCCAGCGGAAGTCCTCGAAGCAGCCCGAAGGTCCATCCCACGAACTATCCAGTTCCGTGGGGATTCCCGCCGTTCCTAGCCCCAGCCAATCCAGCTTCGAGGCACATGTCCGGAGCTCCTTCTCCGTTTCCCTCGCTGTTCGGGGGCTATCCCGGAATGCCGGGTCATCCACCGCTCTTCGGAGGCTTGGCTGGGGCGCCCAACGCTCTACAGCGGGGCCACGGACAGAACGAGAACGCCGAGGACGCCAACGATCTAGCGGCGGACTCCGAGCGTCGAGGTCCGAGCCCCGAGCCGAAAATCGAGGACTCCGAATGCCATCGGAGCCAGTCGGCGATCTTCCTACGGCATTGGTTCAGAGGTGAATACAACTCGTGCGCGCGGACGGACTTGACGTTCAAGCCGGTTCCGGATTCGCGTTTGGCACGGAGGAGGGAGGAGCGAGCGAGAAAAGCACAGGAAAAAGAAGAAGCATCGCGACACAAGCAACAGGCCGAGCAGCAGGCGGCTCTGGGCCAGAATCCATTCCCACATCCACCGATGGCCAGTTCCAGCAGACAGGCGCCCGCCTCCCAGCAGAGGAATCAGGGCGGTCAGCCCTCACCGCTTGGGCATCTGGGCGCACCGGATAGTCCGGCTCTGAGGCAGCTCTCAGGTGAGAATCTCGCGTATTCGCTAGAATGGAAGGTCGACAGGTTTTTTGGCGAGGTGATTGATGAAAAAAATAATCGCTCTCCACAGAATTCGCTCGGCCGCCCGCGGGTCTCCCCATGATGTTCCCTGGACACCCAGCGGGACTGCGACCTGCACCCGGACTAACAGCTCATGGTATCGACCCGTACATGCATTATCAGCTTATGAATATGTATGCTCAAGTAGCAGCCAGAGATATGGAAATGAAAGCCGAGATGGAGAAACAAATGCAGAATCAACGCAACTTGAAAGAACAGCAACAGCGAGAAAGAGAACGGGAGCAGAGAGAACAGAGAGAGGTAGGTTCGTCGATTGCTATCGGGACATGATGCAGCTTCGCTACGCTCATATCTGCGTAGCGCGCGGCAATAACCGCCGGTTTTCTAAAACTTTTCTTTCGTGCTCTCAAATTGCAGCGCGAAAGAGAGAGAGCTGAACGAGAAGCGAACGAGAGAGCGGCGGCGCTTGCGGCAGCCCAGCAGGCGGCCGTCGCACCGATGTTCTCGATGGGCGACCCGTGGTTGAGCGCTGATAGAAGATACCCTGCCGGAGCTGGTCCCCCCTTCGGTATGTTCCAAGTTCCTGGAGCTCCGAACCCCGGGGACCCGAGCAGACCTTTGGATCTTGCCTCTGATCCCCTCGCAGCGATGCGGCTGCAAGCGGGCGGCGCGGCGCAGTCAGCCAGCGGAGAACTCCATACTCACGCCCACACGCACCTGCATCTCCACGATACCGGAGTCCCAGGTGGACCTCCGTCGGGAGCCCCACCCCCTCCGCCAGCGGGAGCACACTCTGCGGCGGCAGCTGCTCTCCTCCGGCATTCAGTCAATTACGGGGAACAACTTGCTGTGAGTTTCCGTTCGAATCGTCGCCCGAATAACCCCTGGGCTCTTCTCTCACCCCATGAAAACACAGGCTCCCGGCTCCAGATCGACGGAGTGCTAGAGCCAATCGTTGACATCGGATTTTTCTCTTCCTCAGATGGTGCAGCACGAGCAGCTACAACGGCAAATAATGTTCGAACGATTACAAGCCATGCAGAACCCGCTGCTCGTTCAGCACGAGGAAATGTTGCGGCATCAACACCAGCAACATCAGCAGCATCAACAACAGCAGCAACAGCAGCAGCAGCAGCAACAACAACAACAACACCAACAGCAGCAGCAGCAGCAGCAACAACAGCAGCAGCAACGGAGACCCTGAACGCGGAGCTCAGACGAGGAAGGGGTCATGGTTAGGTACGTCGATCTCTCGCGGGAGCGAATCGACAACGACATGTGTCGTTTCTGAGACGACGGAAGCAACACACTCCCAAAGTCATATGGTATCCCGTTCCGGCGTTCCTCCTGACTCGATTGATCCAATCGAACGAGAAAGGGTTCTTCCCGACTCTAAAGACGACACGGAGGTCGAGCTGATATCCGAGTTGCTGCTGGAAGACCGCTGTGGGGAGTATTCCTGCGGAGCTGGAATGCGAAGCCAACCGGGGGAATAGCTCTTATCGCTCCCCGACTTGTTTTCATTGATCGGAGGCTCGTTTCTCCTCTCTCTGTCCATGGCGATCTCTTCGCTCTTGTTCGATATTTCGGAAGGCCAGCGAAATCCCCGAATGATCTGAGCGAGAATGGACGACGAGTCGTGTACTCGACGATGTTTTTGCAGAAGAAGTATAATGGTTATATGTTGACGCGATCACCGCAGAATCGGATCCGAATAATTTATCGAAATATATAATTTTCGGTTGTGCTCTCCTCCGAACACGAGGTTCTCGTCAGCGAACATCGCACGCTGCAATGAGCGGCGTCGCTCTCGAAGAGCCTTCGCTTGAGTCTTCGACGAGAACCCGATGATGATGATTTCATAATATAAAAAAGTGATGAGCAGCGTCGCAGCTCTACCTATTCAAACCTCGCTCGCCGAGGCACTCCTATGCTGAGACTGACTGAGATTCTCGATGCTGACGCTGCCTGAAAAGACCACCAATCGACCACCTGTGGCAAACCAATCTGTATGCTGTAATTATTTGTAATGATGATCTTGATACACAATCCTTATCACGGTAATAACATGACCATAATCATAATGATTATTCATACTGATAGTTGAACGATGCGGCGGAAAATAACTACGAGAAGGCGCTGCTAAGGTGACTTCTACATCTGACGGAAACTCGAAAACGAGAGACTTGATTGACGAAGGTTTCGATCTACTGGCAGTCCGGAACGATGCTACGCACATGGGTACTAGTGTACTATGCCGTGTATTTATAGTATGTGTATGTAAATGCAGTAGCACTTTCTTCTTTAGTTCACCCGATGTTTTTGAATGCGAACAACTGTGACGAAATTCCTCTTCGGTCCGCAACGCGATCTGTTCAGAGGCTCCGACGGCCACCGCCGCGACGACGACCATCAGCCGCGCGCTCGGAGTACGCAAGACTGGAAACCGTGCTCCTTCGAGCAATCGGCGGTCGATTTGGAGCCGACTTCTACTCGGCAGGAAATGATTTTGTTTCGGCAAATGACACCCAAACGTAGGCAGAAGAACTCTAGAAAGTGGATGATTCGGTTTTGATTGCTATGCAGATACGGGAACATGACAGGGAAGCGTGACTATAAGGGTTTTTCATGGGGTGTAACCCTCCGCAGAATGAATTTAGTATAATCGAGCGATGTATATGTAACGATTCCACGGCAAACGCGCCTCCTAGCGCCTTCTCTTGCTTGAAGAATGATTTTTAAGTTCAGAAATCAAATGAACGGAATGACGGTAAAGATCGTTTCGATCCTCTCGAACACTCTGTGGAGAACGACTGATGTTCCACTCAGTCAGAAACGGAGCGTCAGATCCAAGCGGATGGAATATCCTCATGGAGTTATCTTGAGTTCGATTCAAAATAACCTGATTGTAGAGAGACCATGCGAATAAATGGGACTACTTACAATGAGACAGAACCGGAGAGTTCTAACTATCGAGAAGGGTGAGCCTCGAGGGCTCTCAGAACCGCCTAGCGGACGGGCTTCTTCCGTCGAATAGATGAGCGAGAGTCCTCGAGATCGAATACCGGCCAGAGCTATTCAATTAACAAGAGCAATTTATTCAGTAGCGATCCAGTCCGCAATATTACAATATTTTCAGGATTGAACAAGGGTAACCCGGCTTGCTACAAATGAAAACATTAACAACATTTTGCGCTGAAATTCTGCGAGAGCATTCCTCTTTGGTCGAACGCAGAGCTTATTTTCGCAATCGTCCAAAATAACACTTTCACGTCCTCTTTATTCGTGTCAAGGCCCCCGTACAAGATTCTCGGTGGCGATCACCGCAAACGTTCGATTTATGTCGACAGGGACACCTTGCACCGCTCTCTTGGAATTTTAATCGGAATCGGAATCGACTTCTTGGTCTTCAAGCTCAGGCATGGGGAACCTGAGAACTGCTGCGAGTCCAGTGAGCTGCTCCAGCTGCTTGCCAGATATGTGCAGGGAGCTGAAGATGAATACTTCGCCTCCAGTTTCACTCACCAACTCCACTAATTTTACGTAGCGTTTCCTCTGGGCTACATCCTGACAGCTGTGGATCGTCAAGATTACGAGGAGCATTATTTACTGCAGTGCCCATTCAACTCCGCTCCGGGCATGCTTTACAGTGTCCGATCGTGGGTCGAGTCAGTGGAGTCGCGGAAAAATGTAAAAACTCACCGGAAGAGTTTGTCGGATATGAGAAGGGTGTCAACTGCCTGAGCGTTCGCTGCGTGCACCACATGTTTCCAGCCGTAGAAGGCTCTGGACGGATCCGATTTGAAGAACTCATAGAATCGCTCGAGAGCTTTGACCTCCGCTAATGCTTTGGTGTCGCACAGCTTCACTTGCACGGTCGGATCCTGTAGCACCTCTAAAATTCATTGCCATTTGAGTCGAGTGCCTCATCGTACGGATGTCGCAACCTAGGAGAGCTTTCCTCCCGGCTGGACCTCACAGCCGAGGCTTGCCGTCCCGGCCATCGTTTGTCTCATCATTCCGGAGATGGTGCATCACTCTCGAACCCAGAGAATGAAAGGCTGTGCAAGACGAAATCCATAGCTCTGATTTTCTCCAAGCCCAAGCTGAAACATGAAACTCACCCCTCAACGAATCCATGAACCCCGAAGACGAGTGAGCTAAAACAAACTTCGCGCGATTATCCAACAGTGACTTCAGCTCCGGTTGCTCACTGGATATGTTGAGCAGGCGATCGTAGAGGTGGTCCTTTGTGAAACCTGGGCTCGCTATCAAGACGCATTTGACAACTGTGGGAGAAGCCGGAGAGCGTTTTTTGTAAGGAATGGTTCCACTGATTTTCTCTCGAGGGTTTCATCGAAAGATTCCGCGTGTGATCGACTTCGTCGAAGGAAATTACGCGGGAATCTCTTCCTTAGATCCCTCCGTCCGTCGCTTCTCTTACCATCGAAGTCAACGTGCTGTTTCAGTGCTCTCAGGATTGAGTCGTAGAATCGAGACATGGCCTTGTCGTGCTGAGCCGTGAAACCCTTCCGTTTTCGCGGGATGTTCATCTCGACTTTCGAGCGAAGCAGAGTCATCGAGGTTGTCACTAGGCAGATATGCGCGATTCCCTCCTGCATAACGACTGCCGCGACATCGGCGCTGCGCGTCGGATCGCACGCCTGCCGCATCCTGTCCATATGAACGGAATCCCACGCGAGTTTCGACAATTTGAACTTGCGATTGAGTTCAAGATCGAGCGTGTGATACGCCCCGAGCTGCGAATCAGAGCATGGATGAGGGGAATTTTCCCGGGATCGAAATTCGGAGTGGAGCGATCCGTACCTCAGGTCACAGGCCATCATAGGGAAAACAAAGAACTCACCTTGACGTGCGCATTTTCCTTTATATTGCGTCCTTTCACCCGCAGCATACAGGCCGACGTGTCATAATCAATAGTTTCTATTTGGATACATAACGTGATCCTAACGCGACTGCTATCTGTAGATCCAGTGTCGGACTCCAGAACAATTTTCCTGAAAAAATTACAAGCTCGCTAATCCTTCCGGTCTCAAAGTCCAGACTCACGAAATGCTCTCTCTTGTCCGTCGCGAAGTTCTGACGAACCTTATCGTAGATGCCTCGAGCGTATCATCAACACTCAGTAGATTGTAAAGGTGCCACATATCCTCAGGTTCTTCCGGGATGAGGGTCACGGTTCTGGAATGAGTACCTTCCGCGTTAGACCGACCGCGGGGAGAATTCGACTTGGAGATGATATAGCGACGAAGAACATGCTGGATATCGTAAGTTTCGCGCCACTTCGCGAAGAGTCAGAGAAAAAATATCTTTGGGTTTAGTTGCGTCCGGTATTCGTCGCTTTCCGAATCGGGCACGTCGTAATGAAGCGAATCAATGGAGGGCGGCGGCTATTGGTGGAAACGAGAAAGAAATCCACGTCCCCGAGTCCGTGGCCCATGGAGTCTCCACGGTAACATTTCGAACACTCTGTCACTTCTCACAGCTGATCCGAGTGGGAACATCGCCTCGAGCCCGCAACGCGATGCAACGGGTATCGTGGAGCACCGAAACGGGGTCATTTAGCGATTCTGTCTTGTCACTCGGTATGGCGGGGAAAGTAGCTCTTAACTCAAGAATTGAGGGAAGATCAGGATTCGTTCGTCACTATCAGAAGCTTTTCCTCAGTGACTCCCGCTTCATTCGACCTCTTGGCGGTATAGTCCTATTGGTGCGAACTTACCCGCTCCCATCCCGCTCAAAACGCTTTCCTAACAACTTCATTTTGGACTTCGTTGAGGTCACTCGAGGTCTACCGAACCTTCATGCCGAGACGAAGAACACAGAATAATAAGGATGTCGCTCGAGAGCCAGGGTACACGCGCAGTCTCACTCAGTCAGTCAGAGAGGCTCCTTCCCCAAATCGAACGCGAGAGCAGGACTGTGATCTGCGTGTGCGAATGAATCTATTTCCGTGGTTTAGGAGAGTCGGGGTTTCCTGTTGCGAGATCATCGATTCTTATTGAACTCTCGGAGCAAACTATGATTCGCATGAACAGTCTCCGCCCCAGTGGCATGCCCCTCCCTGATTTCAGTTGCCGCGAGAAAACCGCAGGATATTTTCTCCTATTTTTCATCCCGAAGGCCATTCCGACTTTTAGTGACATGGACATGAGATCATGATTCATCGTGAGATCTCATTTGAAGTGAGAAATGCTCTCGACTTTTAATGAGCAGTGATCTCGAAGAGGGCATGTCCGTCTCGGAGCGGAGCGTAGCATCGGTCACACGCGATTGCTGATTAACATTCCAGGAACTCGTAGGTCGGCGCCGAATTCGAAGGGTGCGCGCTGTTCCCTGCCCAGCTGATTTGAAGCGGCAGCGGCGGCGTTGACGGAATTGCGATAAACCCATGTTTAAGGGGCGGCTGACGACTTTTGCTCACAGTTCCCTCAGGACGTTCACGATGGCGCCTGTTCCGAAGAAATTCGACTATCTGGTTTTGGGTGGAGGATCGGGTGGCATCGCAAGTGCTCGTCGTGCGGCGGAATACGGCGTGAAAGTTGGACTCATTGAGGAAGGTAATGAGCTGCGGCGCACAGCGTCGATTTGAATTAATTGCAGAAATCAGGGTAGAGAGCGGATGCTGTCTGAAATGGTATAGATAGCCTGAGATCCCCCTCAGGTGGATGCTGCGGATAGCTTCGGAGTTCACAGAGATATCTCGGAGTCTAAGAAGTACCCCTGCGAAGTCCGATACAGTACCCGCTCCGTGACGAACCGATTCAGTGAAGCGCTCAATGTAGAGCAAGTTGAGGGGTTGAAGTCTGACCTCTCGGAGGCTTCCGGAGGCGCTCGATTTGTCTCGATCCCAAAGAAGTGTATCAGTTCTGCGGAGCGATTCTATACGCAGAATAGGTAATTCATTAACAGATTCTATCGAGAGAGATGGCATCAGATCCCGAATGTCACCAAACGAGTGCTCATGCTTGAATGCAACCTCTGATTGAGGAAAAATTCTCATGTTCTAGAAGTGGATTCCATCGCCTACGGAGAATCGCGAATCCGATAATATAGAGCTGAATCTTTTTGTTGCTCGCATCATCGGCACTCTTTTGGGCTTTTGTGGATCCTGGTCGGCTCAATATCCGGCTATGTAGCGCCGGGGTAATCGTATGTCCGCAACGCTCTACTCTACGAGGATTAGGCGGATATAGGTGGCATCGACGAGAACCCAGCGGTCAGCCCTTCCGTAATTTCCCGCTTTTTCCTCTCCGCGGAGTGAAACTCCACTTTCGAGAAGCCGCTCCCCTTTCAACTTTCGAGAAGCCGCTTGGAGGTGCACTCCTCCGATGGAATCCCGTGCGGCGTCAAGTATTAGAACAGCAGGTCCTAAGCCTTGCTTCACCCGAGAACATTCGCTTGCAGGATTCATTCTCCGAAGCAATATCCGCCTGGTCGTCCCCGGGACGTCGAAATCAGGCTGTTCGGTTCAGGCTGAAAAGTACGAGCGCGATTGTAGACGTATCATTGCGGGCTTCATCTACATCCTCAATGAATGAGACAAAAAAAAAAGAATGACTGGTCTCTCGAGTTGTACCGCCGTGAAGCTTCTGAGATCTCGATATCGAAACTTATCCAAGTTGGGACTCTGACGGATAAAGGTCTCCCTGAATCCCGATCCGGTAACCGTAGCTCGTTGATATCGTGCGAAATCCGGAATCCCTCTAATAGATGTATCGATTTTCCCCGTTCAGCCCGTCTCGGTGGAACCTGCGTCAATGTTGGATGCGTGCCTAAGAAGGTCAGCTGGTACGCTGCTTGGCAGAGGGAGCTCATGCACAACTTCAAGGACTACGGATTCGACTTCGAGTACAAAGGCTTCAACTGGCCGTCATTCAAAGCGAAACGGGATGCGTATATTGAGCGACTCAATGGGATTTACGAGAGAAACCTCGAGTCGAGCAAAGTCGAGCTAATTAAAGGTGGGTCATTCACCCGATTGGCTCAAAACTGTCCATTCCTCATTGGCGTCGCTGCTCACAAATATGACCAGAATGTCTGCGACCGGAAAAACCTCGCGAAGAGCTTTCCTAATGAAGCCTTCCATTTCCTCATTGATTGATTACAGGACGGGGGAGGTTCGTAGATCCGAAAACAATCCAGGTCGGTGAGGAGATGTATACTGCAGATCACATCACGATCGCGGTCGGAGGGCGGCCGAGGATTCCCGAGGTTCGAATTTCTGTCGAAGTCCAGAAGCACCATCTGGAGGCGCTCGGTGCTCCAGCGATGATTTCGCGGGAACAAGAGAGATGGTCAATGATATTATTTTCAGGTTCTGGGAGCCGAGTTCGGCATCGACAGTGACGGTTTCTTCGAGCTGAAGGAGTTACCGAAGAAGGCTTTGATCGTCGGTAGCGGATACATAGCCGTAGAAATCGCAGGTTCGAGGGGTCTCTTGACCCATCACGACTTCTGGGCTCATGATATATTTTCGATAGCCAGTTGAAGCTGGGACGATTTTTCTCACTGCAAAGTTCGCCATTCAGGGGTGTTCAATGCTCTTGGAGTCGACACCACGGTCGTCATCAGGAAAGCCGCCATCCTGCGATCGTTCGAACATTTTCTCGGAAGTCACCTGATGCATCAAATGAAAGCCGATGGGGTCAAGTTCGAAACTCGCGACTCGGTTAGCCGCGTTGACCAGGACGGTTCTCTTCTTACAGTGACAACGCAGACCGGGAAAATCATTCCAGATGTAGATTGCTTGCTCTGGGCTGTCGGCCGTGATCCCCATGTCGGAGGACTTGGTGAGAAACTCCGGCCGCTAGATAGCTCCGAGAGAACGCAGTGAGGGGCCCTCAGAATCGAGGAATGATTAGAACTCACGGGCGACTTGCACCGTTGCAGGTCTCGAAGCGGCGAAGGTCGAGCAGGACGAGAACGGCCACATCATCGTCGATGAGTTCCAGAACACGTCGTCGAAGTCGATTTACGCTCTCGGTGACGTCTGCGGCAAGGCTCTACTCACGCCAGTCGCTATAGCTGCGGGTCGACGTCTTGCCATGCGATTATTCAACAAGCAGAAAGATCTCAAGCTAGATTACGATAATATCCCAACCGTTATATTCTCCCACCCGCCAATCGGCAGCATCGGACTGACGGAGTACGAGGCACGGGATAAATTCGGCGCGGAAAACGTCCGATCCTACGAATCGACTTTCAATCCCATGTACTACGCCCTGTGCGAACGGAAGGTGAAAACAACTATGAAGTTGGTGTGCGCAGGAGCTGACGAGAAAGTTGTTGGACTCCACATGATCGGAGACTCTGTCGACGAGATACTTCAGGTAGGAGAAATCGTTTTTTCTCAGGGTTCTGATCGGGGCTTGTGATAACCCGCGAGGCTCATCGGCAAAGATCGTCCAATTCACTTGCGGATCTTTGCAGGGATTCGGCGTCGCTATCAAGATGGGCGCGACGAAGTCCCAATTCGACAGCTGCGTGGCGATACATCCGACCTCCGCTGAAGAATTAGTCACCATGAGGTGATTGAATCGATGGACGATGAAGCGATCGACTCGATGCGCCGATTTCGGTCAATTGAGCTTCCGGTTGATCGATCCAGCCGTTCTGTTCGAGTCTTCGACTCTGACTCCTATTTACGACCCTAAACATCATCGTTAGTTTTTGGAATAAAATACGATCGGAGGCAGGAGCGGATCCAGCTTTTTTTCTTGGGGGGGGCCAAGTCATATTTTCGGGGGGGAAAGAGCCGAAAATGATGACGCGCCACCTCGCGGCCCATGCTTTTGTATAGGGATCGAAGATTCTTGGGGGGGGCCATGGCCCCCTGGCCCCCCCCCTCGGATCCGCCACTGATCGGAGGTCCTGGTGGATGCTCCATCGCAACATATATCAGAGCGATCAGAACATGTTCGGCCATCCCCCAGACTAATGGCCCGAGTCACCCGTCAGTCTCGAGAATGCCAGGGGTCCGAAACCCGCAGTCGGACGGGGGAGGTTTTTTTAGGGGGGCGGCGGCGGCGTCTCAGTCAGTCAGGTAGAACTGTGAATTAGCGCCATAAGATCGTTGACTTTCGGAGAGTCCGACTCGCCCCTGATGATTGCTCTCAGGCAGCAGAACTTGCTCGATTGTTAGCCCTGACGCTCCAAAATATGCCCCAACGATGAATTAGGAGAAATGAGAATCTCTCGTGCATGTATGGCTTCGTCGATACGCTCCCCAGACTCAGTCAGCGGTTGAGGTTTGTTTCCCAAATTAGGTACCCTAAAATCCCGACCATAAGGAGCCGGAAAAATGCGGAAATGGGCACCTTATAGGGAACTTCCCGTATAAGGAACCCTACTCATAGGGAACTTCCCGTATAGGGAACCTCGCCTATAGGGAGCTCCCCGTATAGGGAACCTCGCCTATTGGCAACTTCCCGTGTAAGGAACCCTATCCTTAGGGACTCTTTGTATGAGAAACTTTGCCAAAAGGGAATTCCCCCAGGTTCCTTATACGGAAAGTTCCCTATACGTGGGGTTCCCTATACGGGAGGTTCCCTATAGGCGGGGTTCCTTATACGGGAAGTTCCCTATAGGCCGGGTTCCTTAAACGGAGAGTTCCCTATTCGTGGGGTTCCTTATACGGGAAGCTCCCTATACGAGGCGTTCCTTATGGTCGGGATTTTAGGGTACATTCAACGGTTCGCGCAGCGGGGTTTCGATCTTTTTTTGGACATTCTAATTTAGACGCTACCGATAATGACGCCCGTACGAGCTGAGACTGGCCTCATGAGTTTTGAATTTTTGATTCATTTGACGATGCGACATACGCAGACGGAACGAAATGTCAAACCTGGGGGAAGAACCTCGGTCCAGGACGTGATTTGTGAATATTGATCTCATCTCTCTAGAATTCGATCAAATCACGAAACTCAATGGAGTTCGCCCCAAGACTTC